AGAAGAAAGTGCCTCCCAAAACTTTAAAGAAAGAAAAACTTATATATGTACAAAAATAAGGGTTAGTATGATGAAGGGATGGAATATGACTGTAATGATGAAAGTTATAAAAGATTTTATAAAAGGAATTGATAAGAAGTTGGTTGAAAAAAGAAAGGAGAGGATTTAAAAAAAAAGGGAGAGAATGTGATCAGGCAGGAGACTAGAACAAAGGCATGCACTAGAGATTTAGGGTATATTTTGGGCTGTTAGAAGAAACTGTATCCCAAAATTTTAAAGAGAGAACAACTTTATGTGTGTATATATATATATATATATATACACACACATATATATACATACATGTATATATGTATATATATCAAAAATAAGGTTAACTACTATGAAGGGATAGATTATGACTCTAAAAATGAAAAATAAAAAAGATTTTTTAAAAGTGGGATTGATAAGATGTTGGTTGAAAAAGGGAAAAAGAAAAATTCAAAAACGAAAAAGAAAATGAAAGTTAAAAAAAGTTAACTGTGAAAGACAAGAATCCTGGGAAAAAAGCCATGAATTCTATGTGCAGTATCCCCCTAGTGCTGGAGTTCTGCTGTTCTCATTGATTGGTAAACTTGGTCTTCGCTGGCTCTTCTTGCTGATCTTTTGGGGGAGGGGCCTGTTGTCGTGGTTCCCAAATGTCCTTGCTGGAGGCAGAATTGCCCCGCCCTTGCCGGGTCCGGGTTAAGTATTCTGCTCCGCTTTTCTCGGGAGCTTTTGTTCCCTGCAAGCTTTCCGTACAGCTTTGTAGGAGGAGAGTGAAAGTGGCGCTTCCCAATCTCCACCCCAGAGGAGCCGAGACCTCGGGGCCCCACTCCTCAGTGAGCCCCCAGAGAAAAGCAGTCAGTCACTCCCATCTCCCTGGTTTCCATCTGCACTCCGTGCTCACCTGGCCTGTGACTGAGCATTTCTATCTCTGGCGCACGACCCCATGTGAAGTCTCCAAACCCAGCAGATCCCTGTGGTGCCCTCCCGCGCCGCTCCTCCTGGGGGAGGAAGGGGAGTCTCCCCTGGATCTGCTGCTTGTTGGGTCCCTGCTGGAGGAGCAGTGGCCCGACTGTGCTGCCGATCATGGTTTATGGCAACCCTGAGCTGAGAGCCCGCGCCTCGGCTCCGTCTCTGCAGCCGGCTTCCCAGCTCCGATACCTGGGAGCTTTGCGTCACTCAGGCACCCCCGGTCTTTCTGTGACCCCGAGGGTCCTGAGACCACACTGTCCCGCGAGGGTTCCACCCCCCGCTTAGCCACTGGAGCGACGTCCCTCAGTGGAGCCTACTTCTAAAAATCCGATTTTTTGCTCCGCTGCTCTATCAGTTGCCAGTAGTGGCTGACAGAGGCCCACCCCCTGCCGTCTATCTTCCTGAATATGGCCTTGGATTCACTTCTCTGTATGTCCTACCTTCCAGAATGTGGTCGGTTTTCTGTTCAGAGAGTTGCTGCTATTCTTATCTTCAATCTCCTCTTGAGTTCGTTGGTGTTCAGAATGGTTTGATCCCTATCTAGCTGAATTCCTGGGACCAGACGAAATTTAGGTCTCCTACTTCTCCGCCATCTTGCTCCTTCCCCCTATTTTGTTTTTTGCTTTTAAATTATTTTTCTGCCTTTCAGAAAGGTTCATAGTTTTGTTTTAATGGTAACTTTTGTATTTACATCTTTTTAAAGCTCTCATTTCACTGTTTTCTTGTTTAACTTACTAGTTTGTTTGAAAGGTGGTCTTTAACTATTACCTATCTTGTATACAGTAACCAATATGTGTATTTCACTTGTCACTTCTACTCCCTCTCCTTCCATTTCTTGTTCCATTATTTCTGCTTTCTTTTAGTCTCAAATCTATAATTTTATACATTAATGTGTTATTCATCATTAATTTGTGGTGGGTTTTTTTGATTGAATATTTCCCAGTTATCTTTTGCTTGAATAAAGTTTATGCTTTGGTGAATCCTTTAAAAAGAGCTCTTTAATGTGAAATTCCCCATGTTCTTGTATGTTTACAGCTTTTTCTATAGACCTTATATGCAAAAGCCAGTGTTGCTGGGTATAAAATTCTTGGTTCATAACTTTTTCTTTGTTTTTTTCCAATTTTATTATTATTGAATTGTTTGAAAATATAGCTCCATTATTGCCCCGTTTTGTATGTTGTTTTGAAGAGTCTGATGCTAGTCCAATTTCTTTGCCCTTCTAATTAATTTGATCATTTTGCCTGGAGGCCTAGGGGATTTTTTTCCTCTTCATCTTTTAGGTCTGGTAGTGTTTACCAACATATGTCTTGTGTTTTGTCCTCCCAGGTGTATTTTCTCAAATCCTCATTTTATCTAGTGCACAATAGTTCTGCACTTGTGTTCTGTTTCTCCTCTTTCAGGGACTTGCAATTATACACATGTTATTTCTTCTTTGCATGGCTTCCGTTTCCACCACTTTCTCTCTGACTCTTCTTTCTTCACCTCATTGTTCTTATCTTGGTTGTCTTCCTGCTTTTCTTCAATGCCCTGATTAAATCTTCAATGCGGCTTTTCTTTCCTGTGTACTTCGTAATTTAGACTTCCATTGTGAGATAAATTTCTTCTCTTTCCTTAATTCAATCAGCTCTCTTTTCATTTCTTCCTGTTTTCCATACATTTTTGTCATAATTTTTGAGTTTCTGACTCAAGCAGTTATTTATACCCCCAAATTCTTGTTTAATGTATTTAACAAGTATTATGTTAACCTTCTTCTGCTGCTGCTTCTTGACTTTCTTTTTGAGGAAAAGGGGAAAAGGGTTAGATTTTCATCTGTTCGACTGTATTGAATGGTTTCCTGATATTGTGGGGGGCAGCAATAATTCTCTGTAACTTTATTTCATTTTTTTCTGTTACTTTTTGTGGGTTTTTGCTTGTTCAGAAGAATTTGTAGGTTGTCTTGGTGCCCTCTTCTGTTAGTGCAGCAAAGTGCAGAGTTTTCAGTGAAATTTTTTGTGTTTTTTGGATTTTTTTTTTTTTTTTTTTTTGGTGAGGTGGGGAAGGGAATGATTTTATAAATCCTCTAAGTGTTTAGGTTTGCTTTATTTTATGGAGCTCTAAGTTTTCTCTTCTGCTATTTTTTACTCCTCCCCACCCAGTTGCCAAAGGATGTCTTTTGTAATTTTCATCTTTTTCTCTTTCCTTATAACCATGCCTTTTGAGGACTGACTGTCACTTTTAATTGGTCATGCTGTCCCTTCCTTGTCTGTAGTCACATCTCCTAGAATATTTGTAGTACTTTCACACTTATGGCACTTACTCTTTCTGGTGGTGATTTTAGATCAACTTTAATACCTCACTAGTTCCCCTTTTCTCTCTTCCCCTCTATTTTTCTCAGCTTGCCCTGGCTTATCTCAAAGGTAATAAATGGGATGGGAATATAATAGCTCCTTTTCTGTGGGATTTATTTAACTTGCCTGCCTTCTTTCCTTCCTTCCTTCCTTTTTACGTGCAATCATTTTAAAATGTGGGCATTGTCTGTTTCACTTGAGGGCATGGTGGTTAATAGTTTTATTTGCTCTTTTTGTTCTCAGTTACTTTTAGAATAGGTGTTAAAAGGCATAGACTTTGTCAGCTGCATTGTCTTCAGCTCTCATAGGACTCATTTGAGTTCTAGGATGGTAGAATTTTTTTCTGAGAAGATTTTGGTTTGATTTGCTGGGCACTTAGAGGAACTACCAGTCTGTGATTGCCTTAGTCCATGTTCACAGCCCGAGGTTCTCTCTCTTGCCCAGGTAATGTGACTGCTAACTGTAAGTCTGTGCAAGTATATTGTATTCATCCTTATCATGGGATAAATAAGTCCTTTAGGACTATTTATTCGATAGCCCAACTTGGTCAGGTATGTGGACTTACACTTGAGCCTCATTTGCCATGGTAAGCTGTCATAACCAACATTCAGCTTTTCAGTTGATACATTGGATATGCAAATATTTTCAGTGTTTCTCTCTGGCTTATGCTGGGGTTTTTTTTCTGGTTTTGTGCTTTCTTGTACAGTTTTAAGTTATTTGTCTCTATTGTGTTCTATGCTTTTAAGAATTTTTGTATATTCTAGTAGATTTATGAGGTTCTAATTATTCAGCCCAATATTACTGGAAACAGCAGTTGACTTTTTTTTGTTAAAACTTTTAAAAAATTTTATTTCTTTGGACATTAGGTGGAAAGAATGATAGATTCATTTGCTCAGTTCTCCGTCTTGAGTCCTCTCCTAGAAGGTGAAGATCTACTTTGTTATTACAGATGGGGACACTTTATTTTAGTGGTAAAACAGCTTATGACTAATAACAGATGTGATTAATAATGATGATTGTGATGATAATCAAAATTATTTAGCCATTGCAATGTGCTATGCTTTTCATATATTATTTTATTTAATTATCACAAAGTCTCTTAATTTAGTGTTATTATTTCTACTTTACAAATCATTACCTGAAACTTATCTACCGTAATACTTGGCCTGGTTCACCCGGATAGTAAATGGCAAAAATATGTCTCAGGTCCTGTCCTGGGCTTTGGAGATAACAAGGTTAAGCAAAGTCCAACATGCTTCCTGCCTTCATGGACTTTACAGAATTTAATTCTTGGATTATACTTTCTTACATAGTTTCAGGTCACACTGTAAGGACTCTGTAGGCTGGTCAGGAATATAATTTTAGAGTCTGAAAGCCTGATTCACTGATATTTGCACTAGCATTGAGATAATGTCTCTTTTGAGGAAATGACTATAAGTTAAGCCAAAGTAAAATGAAGAGATGAGAAAAGATCAGAACAGTGTCTTTTAATTCCCTAAAGACTCTCCATTACATTTTGCACAGTGCTTTGTTCAAAGTCGGTAGTAAATGAATGTTACTTTCAGTATGTTCATTGACTAGAAGACTTAACGGATTTTATTTCCACACTATGTTTTTTCATGTAGGCTGGCCAGGATACTATTTTTATTTATGCATGTTATTCCTCTTGGTTTACAGTTATTTGCTGGCATGAAGGATGGAGAAAGCCTACAGCTCTTTGAACAGAGTTCTCGCTCTGCCTATAAACAAGAGACACATACCATGGAGGCCATGAAGCTCATTGAGTTTGACCTTAAGCAAACACTTACCAAACTTGTGACACATATTTTTGGAGATGGTAGGTATCAAATGCCTTTGTCTTTCTTTGGGAGATTAAATATTTAACAAATACCATCTTTCTTGAAGTCATTAAGTCTAGATGTGCCTAGATTTTTTTAGTCAAAGTTGTGGCTTAGTGGTTTTTATCCTCTGTGAGGTAGAACTTAGGGATTTGCTGGTTCATTTCACTTGAGGAGCAGGAGGACATGAAAATGGAATTAGCTTGAGAAAGAAAATGATTACAACCTTTGATAAGAATGATAATGGATTAGGATCAGTGGAGAGAAGGTCTACTGGCTGATTAGTATTATTTTATTACTACATTATCATTAATACAGTACTTGGATTGATGGGGCAAGATTCTCAACCATGTGAGTTGGCCCAGTGGAAAATTTTGTATGTTGGCCAACTGATTACTGTTATCAATAGCAAACATATTAACAATGAATTTCCTGGAGGCAGAACAATCTTTTTAAGACGTGGATTCTCACTTTAGTCATTTACTCTCCCTTTTGTCTCCAGGATAATTTTTTGTCTGTAATGCCCCCCACCCCCTTCACTATTTCTAATTTACTTGAGATAGTACTTTAGTTATTTTTGGAAACATGTAAAGAGAAGGTTAGGGGATTTTTTTTTTTAATTGTGACCTGTATTTTATTTTTTAATTTATTTTATTTTTTAAAGATTTTATTTACTTATCTGACAGAGAGAGAGAGAGAGAGAGCACAATCAGGGGAAGCGGCAGGCAGAGGGAGAGGGAGAAGCAGGCTCCCGGCCGAGCAAGGAGCCTGATGTGGGGTTCAATCCCAGGACCCTGGGATCGTGATATGTTCTGAAGGCAGACGCTTAACAGACTGAGCCATCCAGGTGCCCCAATCGTGACCTATTTTTTAAAGGATGTTTAGAAGACAGAAGCCTAGCATGGTTAGGATTCTCTTTTATTCTTCTATTCTTACAAAATTTTTTAAGGAACAGCTTTATTGAGTTATAATTGATCCAAAATAAGCGATACATATTTAAAATGTATAAGCTGCTAAGCTGACATTCAGTAAACTGAACATATGTACACACTTTTATGAGTTTTGACCTATGTATGCACCTATGAAACCACCAGCAGAATAAGGATAATGATCATGTCTATCACCCAAAAAAGTTTCCTTCTGTTCCTTGGTAATCTCAGCTTCCTGCTCTTCCTTACATTTCCTTATCCCAGGGCATCAGTGATCTACCTTCTGTTGCTATTGATTAGCTTATACCTTCTAGATTTTTATAAGTGGAATCCTATAATATGATCTCTATTTTTGGGGGGGGGTGAGGCTTACTATAATTATTTTAAGATCCATCCATATTGTAGTATACATCAGTAGTTCATTTCTTTTTATTGCTCAGTGGTATTCCATTCCATAGTTTATTTATTCATCTATACATTCATATTTGTTTATTCGTCTACCCATTGATAGACATTTGGATCATTTCCAGTGCTTCACTATTACAAGTAAAGCTATGCACATTCATGCCCAAGTCCTTGTAAGAACACATGCTTTTATTTTGCTTTGGTGAATACCTAAGAGTGGAATGGCTACACCATATGGTAGTTGTATTTTAACCTTCTAAGAAGCCACTGAACTATTAGCTGATGTTGTTGTGCCATTTTACATTCCTTTCAATAGTATATGAAAATTCCAGTTGCTCTATGTCTTCAACAACACTTAGTATGTTCAATCATTTTCTTTTTATTTATTTATTTATTTTTTGGGGAGGGGAGAGAGAGAGGTGAGTAGGGGCAGAGGGAGAGGGAGAGAGAATCTTAAGCAGGCTCCATGCTCAGTGTGGAGTCTGAGGTAGGACTTGATCTCATGACCCTGAGTCCATGACTTGAGCTGAAATCAAGAGTCAGACACATAATTGACTGAGTCACCCAGGCGCCCCTGGTCAATCATTTTAATTTTAGACGTTCTAATAGGAGTATAGCGGTATGTCAAAGAAGCATTCAGCGTATATAAAGAACGCCTCCAAATAAACAAGCAAAAAATCAACCTAAGAGAGAAATGGGTAGACATTTGGTGAAGGTGACAAATGGTGTAACTAGAATGACTAATGAACATAGGAAAAGATGTTCACCCTTATTAGTAACAAGGGAAAAGCAAATGAAAACCACTGTGAGTTACTGATTGTCATTTTTTCATATGTGAAAACCTACATGCCTAACATTTGTAAGTGTTGACAAAGATAAAGGAAAAATAGGATGAAACACAGCGTTGGCCCTGAGTACGAGTCTCAGTTATCATTCCCCAAGCTGGAAGTTGAGTGTTCACCTACTATTAATTTCTGTCTATTTTTTTGTACCTCCAGGCCTCCCTACTTATGTGTGAATTCAAATTGTATTTACAAAGGTTCTTGTTCTAATTCATGAAGCCTCTGCTGCCCTGTTTTAGCAAGGTTTATTAGAGCATCTCCACTGCTGTATTGTGAAATGAATAGTTAATGTGATATTTAAGAAACCACTAAATAATCCCGTGTATTCTTTCTATCCCTGTCCTTTTAAAAAGAGTACGTCAACTTCCTGCTGCTGTCTATTTCCAGGAGGCAGAAAACGGTATTAGGGAGGAGGTACAAATCAGGCTTCCAAGTATGTTCACAGTGTTTTATTAAAATAAAAAAGATATGAAGTTAAATATGACAAAATGTTACGATTTCATAAAACTGAATGCTGGGTGCATGGATGTTTGCTATTTTCTATTTCTGTCTCTTGGTATGAAATATTTTGTATTAAAATGATGTAATGTAATAGTGAAACAGGTTTCAGATAGAGATTGCTGATAGGAAAATCCTATTATAACCAGTTTCTCTTTACCTTCATGATAAAAGAAAGGATTTGTGATATTTCTAGCAGTACTACTAGCTATTTAACACTGGAACGCAGGGAGCTGGATTGTGTTGTTCAGGCCATTTTCAAGGCAGGTTAGGGTAGGAGGGATGGTAGTATTGGAGGGGGAGAGAGCATTCCTTCTCCAGTAGCTTTACAAAGAGATTGAGGACCATTTGAATTTTCCCATTGTCAAACCATGGAAAGAATTGTTTTTAGAGCCCTCTTTATTTATGCCTTGCAACACATTTGTATCATCAAATGATTTGCTATTGATGAGGTTTAGGAACTGCCACCTTGTTAGATTACTGAATGGTTCTGAATAGGCAGGTAGCCTCCTTTCTTAAATGCTAAGTATTTGTGTTTCTCCTACTTGGTTAGTTTTCATTATTTTCTTCCCCTGTCACCTGGTTTAGTCCTCCCAGCCCCTTTACCCTTCAACCGGATAATTCTTTCTTTCTTATTATTTTTTTTCCCAACTGGAGAATTCTTATTTATCCTCTAGTGTCAATTCAGATGTCCACTAACCAGGAACCTTTCCTGGTGCTCATGCTGAGTCCCAGAGGCGCTGCCTCTTCTATGTGCTCATCTAAGCTCTCTTTGGGGGTGGGTTTTTATTTTTCGGAGCAGGAATCACCATTGGATTTCTGGCACATTGCAGCCATCACAATATTGAATAAGTGAGACATAATCGCTTGTTTTCAAGGAGCCATGAAGCTTGACTCCTCTCACTGGGAAACAGAAGTGTTATGGGAGCATGTAGGAGAGGCACCTCCTCTGAGATTTGGCATGTGCGCCAGGACAGGTTCCCATTTGGAGGACATCAGAGCTGACACTAGTCATTGAGAATAAGCACACAGCACTACAGCATTAAGGAATGAAGAATGGAAGAGAAAGGAAGAAAAATGGTTAACAGAAAAAAAATCTCATGTCCACTGAGAGATGGTAGTGTGCAATCAGAAAAATTAAATTTAAGTTCTCTTTCCTCCACTTTGAAATCTTTAACAGGTCAATTAGTGCTTTAGGCCTCAGTTTTCTTTGAACTTTTAAAAAGCCAAGGCAGGAATACTTGTTTCCCCTGAGAATAAAATGAGGTAATATATGTGAAAGGTACCTTGTAAGGAGAAAATAGTAAATAAATGTGTAAATATGAAAAAAATAAAGGGAAGAAAAATTAGGACATGGCAATAAAAACAAGGAGCTTATGAAGAAATACAGTACAAAGAACAATAGTTATAGTTGATTTGTCTTTATTTTGTCTCATGAAATGAGATATGGCTTTCTACCAGACTAGCACAGCAGTCAAATGGGTGTCAATGGTAGCTTCATGTCCTCTCTGAGCGCCAACAAATATTTTAAAAAGAAAACAATGTTCTAGACCTTGTATAGATTATAAAACTTTCCCAGGGGCCTAGGGGATTATTTCTCTGAATCTGGTGCTGGATTTCCTTTATGTTATTATTTTTAATATTTGTATTCGAATAGCATTCAAAATCATGCATTGAGGTGAAAGTTTCCCAGTAGCAATTTTCCTTATAAGAAAACATTTCTGCAGTGTATGATTTCTCTGACTGTGGTGCCTATCTTATATGATGGGCATGTTCATGGCCAAGAATTGAGAATCTTAACTTTTGAAAGAGCGGTGAAGTTGCAGCCTCTCTATTTCAGACAAACATTTGCTTTATTTTTGAAATGCTATTAGCCTAGACTTTTAGGTTTCAGGTTTCATTACAGATGAGAGTCGCTATTTTATAAATCTTCAAATTCACATTTTGTTTGTAAGACTGAGTTGGCAGAATTGTGGAATATGGCGTTGAAGTAAAAAACCAACTAGTTTGGAGAATACATGTTGTTCAGTGCACTAAAGTCTATCTGTGAGAAAAGCCTTTTATTTTTTCTTTCCTTCCAGCCACGAGATTATTTTTAACCCCATTCACACAGTAGCCAATTACCCTGAAAATCCTTAAAGACACATCTTCGCCTAACCCCGGCATATCTTTGCCCTATGTATTGCCAAGGGAGCTGTCGCCGGGAGGGGTGTGTGAGCTTGTCCCCAGGTGTGTTTGCATGTATAGAACATCTGCTAAGATGCTTCTTGGGTTGGATGCTAAGCAGGGTGGGAAGGTGAGTCAAACCCAGGTCCATCTTATGAA